TGATAAGTGAACTATTGTTAAAATATTGTCATCCTATGCAATCTATACTAATTAAATTAAACCATCTTTTAGCTTTAACAGTACAGTCACAGTTTGCCATTGATGTGATGTTTGCTAACTCATATGATTATTTTTCAAATACTGAGGGCATTTCCTCAAATCCCTACATAATGGCTAGTGACACCACACACTTTTAGGTTCCTTTTGCACCATTAACACTGGCTCCATTACTCTCTTACATCTAACCAACAAATCAATAAATCAAGTCCTAATTATGTGTTGAGCATCCTTCAAATGTATCTGTTCTTCCTCACTTGACTTGGGAATCTTCTGTGACCTTGCAAGTGTTCATACAAATGACCTCGCTTTATCTGCAGTGGCAGCCAACACCCAGATGACCCAACCCTCCTCTCCTCCACTCACTGCCTCTAAAGCAGAGCTTAGGTCAATGCTACTTGAACCTCACCAGCAGCTGCTCTGCTTTCATCACTTAGAGGAAAGAAAACCACATGCTTTAAACACATGGGAGAAAATAAAAAATACAATAATGTGAAATTATAAGCACAGTCCAGGAAATGAGAGAAGAGAAAGTTCATTGCCTTCTTGAGAAGTCAAAGAAATTTCCTGTTGAATGGACTAGAATATAAAAGACCTTGACTTTTCCTGAGCCAGTATTTGCATTCTCTGAGCCTGGAATCCCATTTCTTTGTGAAAAACAAGGTTCACAAAGGATGTCTTTTCAACAGACAACACTGAGAAAATTGGATCATCTATATGGAAAATAATAAATTTGGAATTTTACTTGTGCCAAAGAGAAAAGTTAATTCAAGTCAGTGGCTGGTAGCTCATGTCGGTAATCCTAGCTTTTAACTTCAATCCTCTTCTGAGATCTGGGGATCAAAGTTCAAAGCCAGCCCTGGCAGAAATCCAGAGGTGGAGCTGGGCTCAATTGGTTGAGTGCTACCTTGAGCAAAAAAGCTCAGAGATAGTGCCCAGGATCTGAGGACAAACTCTAGGACTGGCACAAAATAATTCAACATGGATTAATAAAGATCTAAATGTGCTGGTAGTCCATGCCTATAATCTCAGCTACTCTTGACCCCTTGGGCCAAGAACACCTGTCACGTTGCTGCCTTGCCACCTTGGTATAAGGTCCAGTGAAGTAGACTAGCTACACTTACCTTCCATACTGCTTTCTCTATACCACTTACCACAGGGAGAGCCCTTTCATAAGTTAGATTATAATATGCAATGGCATCATTAGCTCAGCATTCCAAGGAATGGCTGATTTAGCACATGGGCTAGATAACCTGTTTGTAGATAACAGCTTACTCCAACCCCCAGCATGAGGAAGGAGTCAGAGGCCTCCAGATCCATCTTACCCAAACCCTGTGCTCTCTTCTGCTTTCATTGCCCCTTAGACTTGGCAAGAGAGTTGGAAATGAAAAGAGACTTGGAATTTGATGCTAATATTTTATTTTCTTTAGAGATCATACACCATTGAATGGCAAATTCAAGTTATCTATCTGCTTAATATATAGAATACTAAGCAGTTCATATCTAGATTATATAAAGACTTCTATGGGGTTAATATCTAGAATATATGAAGACTTCTATGGCCCAATTAAAACAGAAGCAAAGGGCACAAAGAAATGTTTCTATAATATTTCTACAAGTATTTCTATCTACCAGAAAAGATACAAATGGTCAACAGACACAAGAAAAGATGCTCAACATTAGTAATCACTATGGAAATGCACACCAAAACTACAATGAGGCCAAACTACAATAAGGTCTGGTGCCAGTGGCACATGCCTGTAATCCTAGCTATTCAGGAGGCTGAGATCTGAGGATCACGGTTTAAAGGCAGCCCAGGCAGGAAAGTCTGTGAGATTCTTATCTCCACTAAACCACTCAGAAAACTGGAAGTGGTGATGAGGCTCAAGTGGTAGAGCGCTTGCCTTGATCTGAAGAGCTGAGGGACAGAGCTCAGGCCCAGAGTTCAAGCCCCAAGACCAAAAAAAAAAAAAAACTAAAAAACAAAAAACCCACAATGAGGTATTACTTCCCAGCCAGAGAGGGGCTATTTCTTAAAACTATTCTAAAGAAAATGATTATTGATAAAGATTCAGAGCAACTAGAACATTTGTGTGTTGATAATGAAAATGAAAGCTGCATTACTCTGGAGGCTGAGATCAGAAAAGGTTTGAAGCCAGCCTAGGCAGAAAAGTCTACAATATTCTCATCTCAAATTAAAAAGCAAAAGCCAGAAGAAGAGTGACAGCCTTGAGTGAAAAAGCCAAACAAGAATGTAAGGCCATGCAGGGCACCAGTGGCTCACACCTGTAATCCTAGCTACTCAGGAGGCTGAGATCTGAGGATCATGGTTCAAAGCACAGTGAGATCAAAAGAGGTTACTCTTAGGAGAGAAACACTAAGGTGCAAGGCCTCAGTGCCTCTTCATAGTTATATAAAATAATATACCTACTGAAACAACTCCATGATATGGACACAAGAGACCTTTCTTTCTCTCTTCTTTTTTTAGTTTGTTTTTGTTTTGTTTTTTGTTTTTTAGCCAGTCCTGGGGCTTGAACTCAGGGCATGGGCACTGTCCCTGAGCTTCTTTTGCTCAAGGCTAGCATTCTACCACTTGAGCCACAGCGCCACTTCTGGCCTTTTCTGTGTAGGTGGTACTGGGAAATCGAACCCAGGGCTTCATTAATGCTAGGCAAACACTCTATCACTAAGCCACCATCTCTGCCCTCGTTTTTAGCTTTTGATGATTCTGTCTTCTTTACCTTATGTAAAATGTACATCTTTGGAAGGGGAAAGGAATGAAAAAGTGCAGTAGTGGAGCTCAGTGGACACTGATGAAAAGTGAACTGTACAACTCATTGGTGCAAACAGAAAGGCAAAACTGGGAGAGAACAGGGAATAGAAGACACTGTATGAAAGGAAATGTACTCATCACCGACTCATGTAATTGCAATTCCGCTGGTATGCCTCTCTATAATAACAATAAACTAAAACAAAAAAGAAGTAAAAGTAGGGACTTTAATACATATTTGTACATCCATATCCATAGCAGTATTACTCACAAAAACAAAGGGTGAAAATAGCCCAATTATCCATTAACTGATGAACAAATAATTAAATCTGTATTATATATTATATTACCATATAATAGATTACATGTATTATAATGAACATTATATAGAATATAGAGAGTGGCATACTGTCCATCTTTAAAAAGGAGAAAACAATTCTGATATACTGTGCTACAAGGAAGAACCTTGAAGACATAGACAGATGAGGCAGTCCCCAAAGGACAACTATAAAATACCTAGAAGAGTCAAGTTTGTAAAGACAGAACGTCATACAATGTTGGTTGCCAGTGGCTGAGAGGGAGGAAACTGACATTCACTGGAAGGCGCTCTGGAGACGGTTGGCAGGATGGCCCCACAGCGATGTGAATGCCACTTCACTGTATTCTTAAAACAGCTAAAATCGCTACATGTTATACCTGTTTTACCACCGTTGAAAGACAAAACTTTTTTTTTTAAAAAACTGCCTTGATGCACTTTGAAGAAGTGTGAGAATTGAATATGCTGTTCTGTATAATGTGCAGGACATATAGAGGGAAACCAAATGAATTCTCTGTCTTCCCTTCCCAAACGTGCTGGATTATATTTAATTCAAACTGAGGACTCGATCCATATTAAACAGAGAAAATCTGTAGCAGTTTCAATTTCATGAGAATGATGTATGGATTCCATTTGTTTTCTTTTTTTCTGTGCTGGTACTGGGATTTGAATTGAGTTTGGGCGTCGGCCCTTCGCTTTTTTTTTTTTTTTTTTTTCCTGTTCAAGGCTGGATTTCTACCGCTTGAGCTACATACAGCTCCACTTCAGGCTCTCTGGTTAGCTTCTGATGAAAGTCTCAAGGACTTTCTTACCGGGTCTGGCTTCGACCTGGGAACCTCGGATCTCAGCCTTCTGAGTAGCTAGGATCACAGGCCTGATCTATCAGCATCTATCTGGCTGCATTCATGTTACAGCTTTCCTTGTTAAACGCTTTACACACCACCACACAGACACAGACACAGAGATAGACAGACAGACAGACACACACACACACACACAGTCAAAAACCTCAAAAATTAGGGCTGAAAAAAGGATGGTTGGCAAGGTAAGGAAAGGCAGCAACGCGCCCACTTAACTACAAAGCTGTAGACAGACCTGCGAGCCCCTCCCCACCCCACTGACGCCTTTCAGCTTCTGGGAGCTGTCCACCCACGCCGCCCTCTGATCGCTGGGGTTTCCGTCGTACATAAACGGACGGCACCCCGATGCTCGCGTGGCTTCTGAGAGTCCACATCTAAACCGCGTAGCCGTGGTGCCTCCTCGGACGCACCGAGAGCACCCATCTCCCAGCGCGGCGCTCTGCTCTCCCGCGCCTCGCTCTTCCGTTCCCACCTCCCCGGCCTCGGCGCGGCCGCCGTGCTTTACACCCCTTTTCCCTGCCCTCCTCCCCCCCCCCTTTTATTTGCGATCGGCTCTCTCGCACACATTTTCTTCTAGAAAATCCGTGCGCCCAGAGAGGTGCGAGTCCGCGGGGATCTTACACTCGGGGCGGACCCCTCCGAGTCCCCGGTGAGAGCAGCCGGCCCGGACACCCAGGCTCCGGGCAGGGCCCGGGACCGCGGCGGGAGCCTCCCCGCCGCCAGGAACAACCCCCGCAGTGTTCCTGCCGGCAGCGGGGCCAGGCTT